ATCACAGGCGTGAGCCAACATGCCCAGCCAATTTTTGTTAAGTTTAAAAACACATAATCAATGACCTATCTTGTTTTCAAATGCTTTCATTTGTAGTAAAAATACCAAAACATACTTGAGAATTATATTGAGGCCAGTGCGGTGGCTCACGCCTGTAATCCCAGCACTTTGGGAGGCGCAGTGGGGTGGATCACTTGAGGTCAGGAGTTCAAGACCACCCTGGCCAGCATGGTGAAACCTATCTCTACAAAAATACAAAAAATTAGCCAGGCGTGGTGGCAGATGCCTGAAATCCCAGCTACTGGGGAGGCTGAGTCAGGAGAATCGCTAGAACCCCAGAGATGGAGGTTGCGGTGAGCCAAGATCACGCCACTGCACTCTAGCCTGGGCAACAGAGGGAGACTCCATCTCAAAAAAAAAAAAAACAAAAGGCCGGGCGCAGTGGCTCATGCCTATAATCCCAGCACTTTGGGAGGCCGAGGTGGGTGGATCATGAGGTCAGGAGATGGAGACCATCCTGGTTAACATGGTGAAACCCCATCTCTACTAAAAATACAAAAAAATTAGCTGGGCGTGGTGGCGGGCGCCTGTAGTCCCAGCTACTCGGGAGGCTGAGGCAGGAGAATGGCATGAACCCGGGAGGCAGAGCTTGCAGTGAGCTAAGATCGCGCCACTGCACTCCAGCCTGGGCGACAGAGCGAGACTCCATCTAAAAAATTTATGTATATATTAGCCTGTCTCTTATCCAACCCGGGCCCCGCGCTGACCCGGCGGACGCAGGGTCTGACACGGAGTGCGGAGGGGCCCCAGACACGCAGTCCATGTCCCTCGAAACCAGAGGCACGCGCGGCCACGCGCTAGGCCTTTCCCTTAAGCCTGTGACCAAGGTCTCCAAGACGCCCAGCGTTGGGACGGCCGCGGTGGCCCACGCCCAAGCAGGAGGATCGCTTGGGCCCAGGAGTTCGAGACCAGCCTGGGCACCAAAGCGAGACCTCGTCTCTACAAGAAAATAAGACTAAAGAAGACACCCAGCGTTAATCGCCCGTCTGCAGCCAGCCTCACGAGCACCGTGGCCGCGTTTGACAACTGACCTCTGTGTCTGGGTGTCCCTGTCCTCAGAGGGACACAGAAACTCAGGACCACAGCCCGGCGGCAGGCATGACGGTGGGACAGACTAGTTAGGAGCAGGTGAGGCACTAAATTTAGCCTGTCGTGATTTGTGTCAGGGAAATGATGAACTTGTATTTTTACGCACCTTGGGCACCAACACAAGATACGGTTTCGTAAGCAGCTTTGGCAAAAATGAAAGGAACGGAACCTCTGCTTCCAAGTGTACGGTCAGGAGCGGCGTATTAATTAAGTGAGTCATCTCCAGTGGCAAAATCCCAGGGGACATGGGACCAGACTTTGTGAGGCTGGCATTGGGAAAAGGAAGGTGAGGGGTCCCCCTCCCCAAACTATATTCTCATTTTCTTGTAAGAGCTGTATGTGTTCAGGAGGAAGATACTGATTCAAAGAAGGAAATCACCTCCAGCTTTGGCAAGAATTCAAGTTTGGGCTGATGCCTTTGGCCAGATAAAATTTTCAGAAGCAGTGATAGTGATGTGTCAACCTTTCTAAATAGGGGTGTTAGTGTGGGTGAGGCAGAGACAGCAGGCTGCCTCTGCTTTTATGTGCCGGCGCTGCCAGAGGCAGAAGGCTGGCTTTCTGAGAGCAGGGGCGCGCACGCTCTGTCTGTGCCACGGCTGGAAAACGTCCATTGCGTGCCCAGCTGGTGTCTTCCATGGAACCACAGCCTGGAAGCCTGCACCTCCCTGCCTGGACCAGTTAGAAGCTGTTCATGAAAAACTAAAGAGACAAGTTCCCATCTCTCCGTCTGCTGTTCAGACCTACTATCTGTGTCCCCTTGGTAGGCTGTGAGCTGCGGCAGTTCCCTTTTCTTTTTTTTTGAGACAGGGTTTTGCCCTGTTGCCCAGGCTGCAGTGCAGTGGTGCGACCATAACTCCTAGGCTCAAGAGATCCTCCCACCTTAGGCCAGGGGCAGTGGCTCACACCTGTTATCCTAGCACTCTGGGAGACTGAGTCAGGCAGATCACGAGATCAGAAGACAGAAATGGTGAAACCCCATCGCTACTAAAAATACAAAAAAAATTAGAAATTAGCCACCACCAGCCACCACCCCAGGCTAATTTTTTTTTTTTTTTTTTTTTTTTTTTTTTTTTTGAGATGGAGTCTCACTCTATCACCCAGGCGGGAGTACAGTGGCGCGATCTCGGCTCACTGCAACCTCCGTCTCCCGGGTTCAAGTGATTCTCCTGCCTCAGCCTCCTGAGTAGCTGGGATTACAGGCGTGTGCCACCAAGGCCGACTGATTTTTTGTATTTTTCATAGCAACAGGGTTTCACCGTGTTGGTCAAGCTGGTCTTAAACTCCTGACCTCAAGTGATCTGCCCTGGCCTCAACATGCGTTTTGGAGGGTATAAATATTCAAACCATAGCCGCCATCTTCTCTGTTGTCACGTGTTAGAGAAAGATTGTCTCTTCTGGGCCGGGCGTGGTGGCTCATGCCTGTAATTCCAGCACTTTGGGAGGCCGAGGCGGGTGGATCATGAGGTCAGGAGTTCAAGACCAGCCTGGCCAAGATGCTGAAACCCTGTCTCTACTAAAAATACAAAATTTAGGTTGGTCGCGGTTGCTCACGTCTATAATCCCAGCACTTTGGGAGGCCAAGGCGGGCGGATCACGAGGTCAAGAGATTGAGAACATCCTGGCAAACATGGTGAAACCCCGTCTCTACTAAAAATACAAAAATTAGCTGGGTGTGGTGGCACATGCCTGTAGTTCCAGCTACTCAGGAGCCTGAGGGAGAAGAATCACTTGAACCTGGGAGACGGAGGTTGCAGTGAGACAAGATTGCACCACTGCACTCCAACCTGGCGACAGAGCGAGACTCCATCTAAAAAATTTATGTATATATTAGCTGGGTATGGTGGCTGGCGCCTGTAATCCCAGCTACTCGGGAGGCTGAGGCAGATAATTGCTTGAACATGGGAGGTGAAGGTTGCAGTGAGTCAAGATCACAGCACTGCACTCCAGCATGGCCGACAGAGTAAGACTGTGTCTCAGAAAAAAAAATTTGGGCCGGGCGCGGTGGCTCAAGCCTGTAATCCCAGCACTTTGGGA